TATATGAGGTTTGGTCGAAGGCCAATGATAGTGATTTGCTTAAGATGTTTCTAATTTTTTTTCTGATTCAGAGCATTTTCCTAGTTTCCAGTTAGAATGTGAATAAAATTATCTATCATCTTCTAAGCGCCTTCGGTATTCATGGGCCATTATCAAAATATTTTATAGCTTTACATGTATCTTGCTTACACAATCACTACATTATCGGGTTTGCTAACTTGCTATTTATTCGCATAACACTCAGAAGCAAATCAACAGAGCATAATAAATCCGATAATACTTATCAATAACACAAAAATATTATGTTACATAAACCGTAAATATCTAATACAAATACTACGAGAAATATTAACCTTAAAAACAATCCACCAACCATAAAATTTTATTTTGTTTAGGAACAAGAATTTCAAATATATTTCACAAAAACACACCACACTATAAACTGACATGCAACCAAATACTCATGAAGACCCGATACTCGAAAACCAACAAAACCATTCAAAGAATAAAATGCATTTACATAGAAACACTCATATCAGCATAAAAAAAGGTGTTTGATAAATGGTTTATAAAACCTGAAATATTGGACAGTTTATGTTCAAATTCATCCCGGAAAGAAGAAAAATAAAACAAACTATAGAAAAATTAAATAGAATTTTAAATATAGAATGTTTGGTTGATCTTCAACCAAACCGACATAAATTAAAAAATACTGTCCAATACACCCAGTATATCTATCTATCTATCTATCTATCTATCTATCTATCTATCTATCTCTACACACTCATACATATGTGTGTGTGTATGTTTCCGGGACGTACTCCTTCCATTTATTTCCGCTGAAACTACAGAAGATAGAAACAGTAACACTGTTGGATAAATTTTTAATTAAAAAAACATTCTTTTTCTACATTGTCACCACGACTGGCTATAATTTCTCCTTCAGTGAATGAGAATCCGCATAGCACGCTCGTGGTTTGCTACAGACGCCTTGCTATCGCCTGTGCTCGTATCCACTGTTTAGTCTCCGTAAGCATCGATGAATGTCAGTGGGTAAATTTTTTTTCCGCATGGAAAAATTCATTGAGACACTTTTGCTTCGCACGCACTATCATGTCAGACATCATTTTCCTAGTCTTCTGTTCAGCTGTTAAACAGCAAATTAAAATTATGGCTTTATTCATAATTATTATTATTCAGCCTTTATTGATATAATACCAGCCACCACCTTTGACGTCGTTGGTCAACATAAAATAATAGGAGGCATTACTTTCGAATGTTTGCGTGTACACACACACACACACACACATACATATATATATATATATATATATATATATATATATATATATATATATATATATATATATATATGAATCCATTTCTGGGCCAGCTGCTAAGAAAGTCGATTCACTGTGTTGTGCAAGACAATTTTTCTCTCCAGAAACTATCTTGCATGTCTAAATGTCTATCATTCGTCCATACTTAAAATATTGGTGCTGCATGCTATTTACCCTGAGCTTCTTGATAAGATCCAAAGAAGAATCAGCAATATTATTGGTCCTGATCTGGCGTCTCGGCTGCAGTCAATTTCCCACCGCTTCTCTGTGTCTTTCCTATAATACTTTCATGGTAATTTTCGATGAGTTCTATGGTAGCAAGACATTTTGAATTTAAGCACAGTACTTGACTGGCGTCGAGATCTCATCAATTTACAATTGAGCTGACTAAATGTAGCCGTAAGTTCTATGCTAACATTTTTTTCTTGCACTTCTCGCTTGTGGAACACCCTTCTAGTTCCATGCTTTCAAGCGAACTTTAATCTGCAAAAATTTAAATGCAATGTCAATCGCTATCTGCTGTCCTAATTACTTTTTTCTCCTCCCGCTCATTATTAATGTTTCTGTCCCTAATTCTCCCACACTGAAAATAATACAAACACGCACGCGCGCGCACACACACATACACACATATATATATATGCAATATATTTTCTACGTTATTTCTTAATAAAACAATAAAAAATATCTTTATTCTACGAATGTCTCAGGTAATGAAAGATAAACAACCTTTACAACATTACACATCGATTGACTTTGAACTTAAATAAAACTTAAATACTACGTTTTTAAACATAATGTCATGTATTTATTTATACCCCAACATATTTCACTGTCTAATGCTCTTCTTTTGTTTCCTTTTAAAGATAAGAAAATCGTTGATTCTTTCGTTATGGAGTTTGCAAAAATAAGTGTGTCGCCCAAGATGGTTGTTTTCATGAGAAAAGCTATCATAGAATAAAAAAAAAATGGAACAAAGTTTAATTAAAATAGAAAGATGTAACATTACGTTTTAAAATATATTATTTTACTATCCACTTTATAATCATATGAATCATCCTCATATCTTGATAGAAAAAAATCAATAACTAAATAATTATATGATGCAGTAATGGATACCGACAGACTGAAATAGCCGACAAAAAGAACCAAGGTCGCATATTTTCCTTACAAACCTGTTAAAAAAAATTAAACGTTCTGTTTTAAAATTTAAATATTTCATTTTAATCTTCATAATCGTTCATTTCATGCGAGACAAATTATCATGTTAATCGATACCTAGATAAATCGTTGTTATATACGTAGGTAGAGAGAAACAAATTTATAGAATGTAAAAAGGACACGTGTTTACAGGTTTGCATCGGAACGAGGATGTGTTTGAGAACTTTCAAAGAAATTCAATTCGACATTTCCAGAAAGAATAAATTTCAACAGGTAGAGAAATCTTACATATAAAGGGTGCGATGGGTAAATTGTCACCATTTGATATTTTTAATTTCACGCTTACGCGTTGTTTGTTTTCGATTTTGTCGACTGCACAGCCTACTCGGGTCAGTTGAGTGCCGTTTGTAAGAAAAAGGGCACCATGACGCAATTCACTAAGCCAGAAATTTTAAAACAGTATGCTCTACCGCTTGGTATTCGCGCTGAAAGCTTCAATACGAATATTTCAGTGTTTGGGTGTCCATCTGAGGACAGTGCAAAGATTCGGAAAGAGTTGGATGAATCTAATGGTGATTACGAAGGTACAGCAGCTCAGACAACTCACTCTGATCGTTCTGATAAGAAAAGAAACCCCGAATTTGATGGTGAGGGCCACAGACTCAACACGGAGACCTACATCAAGTACCTTGAGGAGGTTGTACTGCTCTGGGTCAAGAGGATGGCTGCTGGAAGACACTATGTCTGGCAACAGGACTCTGCACCATGCCACACAAGAAGGAGAACCCAATCATGGCTGTCAGACAATTTCTACGACCAGATCATCCCTTACGTCTGGGCACCTAACTCCCCACATTTCAACCACTTTGATTATGATGTGTGGGCCGCAGTTGAACGAGAGACAAAAAAATCCCCTTGTAACACCAAAGATGAGCTGAAGGGAAAGATTATGGCAGCATTCACCAACTTAAACAAGGAGACCGTCCAGAAGAGTTGTAGGAGATCCCGAAGTCGTCTGGAGGCCGTGGTTGAAGCCAATGGTGATTTTATTGAATGAATTTACTTTTTAGTATTTTAAGATATTTTTGAGTAATTTTGGTAAATATATCTATTAAAATAAGATGTTATTTTTATTTTTGCGTAATTTAGACGACAATTTATCCATAGTACCCTGTTTATATGAGATTTAGCCCAGTGAAAGTAAAGTTTGATGAGCTAGCCTCTATTGATAACTGTCATCTTCAAAGCACTCCCTCTGTGAAGAAATGCACTTGATGGTAGTGCCACTGCTGAAATACCTTTCCGTAATGTAGCCACGTGTTGTAGGATATTCGGGACGTCAGCAAATCGTATTGAGAACATCAAGTTTCGTCACTAGTAATGAACCTGTGATCTATGTTCTCTGCATTATTCAAAAGATCAGATGAAAAGTAAAACCAAGATTGTTTCCGCTTACCACTCAAGATTCAAAGCACCACCTTTGAGGACTATTTTCTCTTACTTAAATCTTATGTTAGTATCCGATATACTTTCTTTCGTTTCATATCCATCGCACCCTGTGTATATATTTACATAGTTAATAATAATAATAATAATAATAATAATAATAATAATAATACAAGAAGAAAGAAAAAATACTTGTGTGTACGTAAGTAGCTGTAAAGAGTTAGCTATAATGCGTGTGTGTATGTGTGCGTGTATGTGTAAAGTACATTACGTCGATGGGTGACTACGTCTCCCAAAAAGGAGAGATTGAACAGATCTTCTATTTACCACATGGTAAAAACGAGGCTATCACAAGAATACCGATGGTGTGTCCATACAAGAGAAATAAGAACCCCAGCAATCAGATGGGGCATTTTTAATTACAGATCTGTGGAGAAAGTATCATAGAATAAAAGTCATCGGATTTAGATTATAATATTGATGTAATGAATATGGATATACCTGTGTTCCCCACTCACAGGAATATGATTGGCTGGTGTCAGCCATAAATACAGGCTGATGTAGAGGTACAGGATGACGACGCCCATTGGACTACACCATTGACTATCCTATTGCCTACACCTATTGACTGCGACTACGACGTGTACCAGTTCCATTACTGCTACCTACTAGATTGTTCTACTCAGTTACAGTAGCCTAAACCACTTAGCTACTTCGATCAAATATATCACATTCCGGGACATATCAAATATATAACACCAAGTTTAAAAGCGTACTACTTTATTTTAAAATTCATTTGCAAGATGTGTAAAAATCTAATGTAACGGGCATCGACGAGGAAGTAGTGAACCTAGTTCAATTCCCACGCTAGCCTGATGAGTTCATTTTCGCGCAAATGCCTTTGGGAAAGGCATAAATCCAGCTGTGGGTTAAATAACAATGTGTACTAGGTACTTGGGTAGCAGCCATTCTAAGAGAAGAGAAACTCTGAATTCCAAGCTGTGGAAAAAGCAACGATAAACAACTCTTCTACATTTCCCAAAAAGACATGACAATCCACAAATAAAAAAGAAAAGTGGAGAGTCATGATCGACCACGTCTGAATGGATATATCACCTTCCTCCATCCTCCCATTTTGGCCTTGTGCTACATTTTTTTTTATGATTACGCAAAAATATTACTTTTGTATCTGGTACCTAGACATTATGAATTTAAGCGCAATACTAGAGTTTATAGTTGAAATGGCTAGATGTAACCGTAAGTTCTATGCTAACAGTTTCTTCTCTCGTATTCTCTAACACTCAGTAAACGCTTGCGTCTTAGTTGCATTGCTTGTGGTGAAATGATTAAAAAAATATTCAGGTAAAAGTCGCTATCATATCTAAATCAATTATCGTAATTTTTTTTTGTGTGTGTGTGTGTGTGTGTGTGTGTGTGTGTGTGAGCGCGCATGCGGGGCAGTAATTCTCATGAAAACATTTCATTTTTTTTTCGGGGCAAGTCCAGGACTGTATATGAAAGTACAGTAGTTCGTTCTGGGTGACGGTATTTATCTAGAAAAATACGAATTGGTCCTGAAAAGTTTTTTTGGTTCGACTGAGAAACCTTTCTACCCATTTGATCAGCAAGTGGGTCGGGAAACAGATACCCTCTCAGAATAAGATTAGACATTACACAATACAACTGACACCCGAAGAAAAATGAACTGAATAGTGATTAATACATGCGTTAAAAAATTAAAAATCAAATTAATTATTTCGAACTAAAATTAAATTATTATTACCAAAAACTAGTTAACTAGTGTATATAGATACAAATCTTTTTGCGGTGACACAAATTAAAACATAAATAAATGAATAAAAACATATATAATTTTCAAGTGAGTCGGAATATTTTTAATTATCGCCATTATTCTTCATATTCTCGATATACTGGATTATTACACCTAAAAGGATATACTGGATTATTACATAGAAAGAAATCAAAAAGTAAATAAATAAAAGTTACTTAATCTAAGGGAGGTAACTAATATTACTTGTACAAGTTATCTCCCTTTGAAATTTCACTGTAACATTTATTTAACAATTTTTATAACTGAAATCGTAGTTTTCTCTCTTTTCCTTTTTGGCTTTTGGACGGTCCCGGGAGACAGTTTTATGGGAGCAACACTTTTGATTTTACTGAATAAGCTTTATAGGCTGTATTGAAATAAAAGTAGTATTAATGTCGAGTTGCTATTCGCAGTTTAAGGACCTTTTCGATTTTGAGCAACTTAAACTACGTCATATATATTTTTATGTTTTCTTGGCTGAATCATAAATATTATCCAAATGATGTACTTAGGGCTGTTTTATCATTGCTGACAATGTGAAACTTGTGAACGAACCTGTTGTGGGGGGCGTTCTTTTAATGCCGCAACACTGCTGTGTGTTGTTGTCATAAATTTCAGTTATTTTCCTTGATAGAAGTTCGTTTGAGTGAGAGTATGTGTTGCTCTATTTTTCGTATTTTGGGCGTGACCCATTGGTCAGATGAATTTTATGTGTAGTTAGTTGATGTATTATTTTATTGCTATTGATTAGACCCACAAATACATAATAAATAAGCGATTTATTTTGTATATTTGTTAAAGATACAGGATGAAGGTCGGCTAACATCGAGCGATGTTTAGCAGGTTTGACCGAATATTTTCAGTTAAGTCTAACCTTAATGGGTGTTCAGCTTTTGTGGTCTTCATCTAAATGAGTTTAATTCTAATAGTGCTCTACACTTGAGGACTTTTACCAGATTATGTTAATAATAGAAATTTAATGTTAATAATAAATAGGATTCTTTGTTATTTACATTATCTATATTCCGGGCAATTGTCCTCATCTTTTTTTGTTTTATCACAACATTTCAGTCGTTGTGCCATCCGACCTTCTTCAGATGTATATCGATCTGGTTAACTGAACTGAACCCTTTATTACTAAGGTAGATTATTCTTTTCCCACTGCTCATGTCTAAGGATAACGTCTATTTCTCTTTTTATTTGATATTGTTCAGTTATTGCTCGACCGTCTTCACTGAGTACAAGTACACACTGCCCGACCCAGGGATTGAACTCACAACTATGTCACCAAATTCACAAACCAACGCTTTTACACACTAGGCTATTTTCCCGTAGAACCAACAAAGATGAGGACAATAGTCCGAATATAATTAATGTAAATAATGATAACTTCTCATCCCAGAAATTCAGGCAAGGGTTTCCTTGTTGTTGAGTTGTGATAATCTCATGAACCATTGCTACTGTAGTGAGTTTGATCTGCCTGGATGTGCCACACCTGTAGCTATAAACCATACAAAATTAAGTTTAATTAGTTTAGCTTGCTCACGACTACTCCATGATTTAGTCATGCAGATTGTTATTGGTTCGATCTTCACCGTCTGTCTTATGCTTGTATCTTTGTGTCAAACAGATATGCTTAAAAAATAAATACCTAAATAATTATGGATAAAAAAAAAAGACAATTGGAAAATGTATTTTTTAGTCATTGCCGACGCGTTTCTAAAACAAATTCTTAGTAAAAAAAAAATTACCTATATCCAGAAAGAGTCTTACATAGGAGTGTTCCCATTTTTTTATTTATTTAGATAGCTAGATAAATAGGAGGAGGAAGTAGGTTTGGTGATAGGAACAGATTGCGACAAACACTTATTTCTGTAAGGTGAGTCATCGTAAGCAAGCTCGTCTCGCTGATTGTGTAGTGAGTTTAAAATTACTTACTTGTAACTATATGATATCACCATCAGAGGTGTTTCGACTTGAAGGCTTACTGAAAATCGTTGTGATTGCTCATCTTCAGCATGGTTACTCGTTTCTGAGCATGCACATCTGCTCAGGTCGATTTGTGCTTCTTCAAACCCCACAGAGCCAACTTGTGCATTACATTGCAGCTGAGTTAATTAAAATTCATGTATATGCTCCGCCAGGGTTACATACAGTTTTGAATTCACAATTGTCCATCTCCTATACTGGTTGCCAAGGTTTAAAAAAAAATGAGGTATTTTTTTATCAAGTATAGCTTAATCTTATCAATATATCCTCTTGTTTATATGTGTTTCTTTGTGGAAGTATGTCTACGATTATATATGGAATATGGCCACGAATGTTGAACATCCAATGAAGAGAATTGAACTTGAAGTGAGTCCCGATAAAAAATAAAATATAAAAAATAAAATATATAAACAAAAAAAGAATTAAAATTAAAATAAGGCATTTGTGCTTTTCATTAAAACCCTTATCTTTTTGTTTGTTTGTTTGTTTCTTTCTTTCTTTCTTTTTCTCTTTCTCTTTCCTTCTTTCTATATACTTCCATCTCAACTAACGAGAAGAAAACCCTCAAATAAGAAGAGGAAGAAGAAAAGTCTGAACCCGTCCCAAAACACCGGAAGTTTGCAGGATATAAACCCGACACCTCTGGGTTAGATAAATAATTATCCTACCACCTTACTACCCTGGTGACCTTCTGATATGAAAAGATTTGCCACAAACTCTTTGCACAGTTGGTATTTAAAATGGCATTTAAATACCTGGGACGTGTTTTAACAGACGACAGAAAAAGTGACACAGAAATATGAAGATGAATTATAACAGCGAAGACAGCGGAAAATTTCGTTAAGTAAAAATAAAAGAGTTGATTTTTCTTTTTTCCTCTGTTGATCTACCACAACCTCCCCCATTTCTACTTTTGACTTATGGCCATACCAGATGTTGTAAGCTTGGACGTGTGGACAGTGTGTGCTGATTTGCAATGCCATATAAATATTCATATACGACAGTGAATGCTGGATAATCTTCTCGCAGACAAAGACAAGACTTGAGGCAACAGAGATATTGTTATACAGAAGAAAACTGAGAATACTATGGACGGGACACGTGAGCAATTAGTAAGATTTAAAGAAAATAGAAACAAAAAGGACACTTACATGATGTATTAAAGACAAGAGGTGCAGACGAAAACATTGAGTAAGCTATCTAACGAGCTTGTGTAAATGAATGGCAGAACAGAGAAGGGAAGGGATCGTAAAATGGCAAACATTGATATAAGCTACAAAGTATAGCATGTTGTAGAAAACCATGACCGCCCACGCCCTGAAGGGACAAAACATATAGAAGAGGATGCTGAACAGACCTTACAATATCTGGGAGATCGCCCACCATCTGGCATGATCAACAGTTTGAAGAAGGTTAGTAGTATCGAATTTTGGGTACAACTGACCAAACTGGATGTTTTATCGTATGATAAATGTGGGAAATACATCCCGGCCCAGAGATTGCTGCGTCGCATTTGCGATTTCGTGCAGCAAAATTTGACTTTCTTGCTCGCGTAAAGGTTATCTTCTGTTCCAGTGTATCATTCAAACATGCCAGTTTCTCAGTGTAGCAGTCAACTCATTTAAGTCTAGCAATTCATAATAAAGAATTCCTTTTGAATCGTATCAAACATCGAGAACTTTTGGCTCTTGAGTCTGAAATGTTGTAAATAGCCACGATTATTTCCTTAGTGATTCTCACAGTAAGTCTGTTCTTCATCGGCCCAAAAAATTGTGTCAAAAAATAAGCATTTGAATGATGTTTATTTATCTAAGTTCGAGAGTAAGCCATTTTTGTGATGTCCTGATTCTAAACGATGCAGTTGACTGATTGTAATCAAAGACAGTTCTAAGATTTCTTTAATATTGTACAAAAGATGACACTGGAAAAAACTTGCATTCATCTGATATATCACAAATAGATAGATAGATATGAACACACACATATCAAGAGAGAGAGAGAGAAAGGGGGGGGCGAAAGTGAGAAACAGAGAGAGATGCATAAACTAGATAGATAGATAGATAGATAGATATGCATAAACAAAACACACACACACACACACACACACACACACACACACACACACACATATATATATATATATATATATATATATATATATATATCGAGTTCTCTCAGTCACTGTGTGTTTATCTAAAAATAAATACGCTTAAATTCACCTTCATCCCTGTTGTTCGCCAACAGCTTAGGGGTAGAATCCCCGACTGACGCAAATTCCCTCTGGTTTCGATCCTAGCTAGAGGCAACCGGACATCTAGTCACACTGATGAGCTGTGATACAGCGAAACAGTCTGTCTTTGGATGACAATAGATAGATAGATAGATAGATAGATAGATAGATAGATAGATAGATATCAGTACACACACAACTATCTAGAGACGGAGGGAGAATGTGAGAGGCAGACAAAGATGAACAGACTAGGGATAGATAGATAGATAGATAGATAGATAGATAGATAGATAGATAGATAGATAGATATGATCAGGTTAGAATTTAACAGATATGAAAACACACACACACACACATAGAGAGAGAGAGAGAGAGAGAGGGATGAAGAGACGCGAGAGATAGAGCGATAGATAATGAACCCGTACACATATAGCTAGAGAGAGTGAGACATGAACAGACTAAGACAAATAAGAAATTTGCTAGGTGTATGAAAGCAGCCAGGCTCAGATACTTTCTTATGTGCATATTTCTACGAGTCTTCCTCTTTCTCGAAATGTCTTACCAAGCCACGCAAATGTGTAGATGCAAACACACACATACACATGCAAAGATCCATCCATCCATCCATCCATTCACGCACGCACGCACGCACACACACACACGCATACACAAAGAGAGAGAGAGAGAGAGAGAGAGAGAGAGAGTGAGAGGTAAACATGAATTTGTTAAATATTTATCGCGATCTGTGCGCCTTCCCGCGCTTGTTATGAAGAAGGAATGGAAGCGTTAGCTCTTTAATCTGCTTTCCAAGAAAATCGTGCGGCGGATTCAAACTGTACAATACCAGAAGTAAATTTTTAGGCTTGTTTATTTGCTTTGTCTTCTTTGTTCATTTTTTTTTTTTTTTTTCCTTTCTTTCTTTTCCTGATCTCTATGATTTGTTTCCCGCTGTTTTCTATTTTCGTATCAATTGTGTATATCGACTACCGATCAATATTTTTCATAATTAGCGCGTCAGAAATAAGACAAGCCAAATAAATGAGAAGAGAAATTGCCAGAATTTTTTGAATTTCATTACGACAGCCGCTATGTGGCCTACTTGGTGAGGAATATTGTTGCTGATATACAACTGGAGCCAGGGGTCGGTGTTCAAGCACAAATAAAAACGGAATTTTGAATGACGATTGTCAAGGTTTTGAAATAGTTGCTCTGTCTCTCTCTCTCTATCTTTCTTCCTCCACCTCTCTCTCTCTCTCCTCTCTCTCTCTCTCTCTCTCTCTCTCTCTCTCTCTTTGGAGCTTACGGCCAAACGTTGAAACACCGATTCTCATACAATCACCGAAGTTAAGCAACGTCGAGTCTGGTCAGTCCCTAGATGGGTGACAGTTTGGGAATACCAGGTGTTGGAAGCACGGGTGATGTAATAAATAACAGCTCGAAATTGTGAGTCGGGTTCGTAATATTCACTTACGCCTACGCGCAAATACCCCTCCAGCTATGGGTTAATTAATAGGACTTGCATCAGTAAATCATTATCTCCAAAGTATTCTTACAATATTTTCTAGCTTTAAATAACCTGTAAAAGGTTGAACTAAAACCAGCATTGAGAATCGAATTTATATTTATATACTTATACATAAATACAACGTTGACAAACACATGTATATATACCAGTCCTGACTTGTAAGATTCTCGTAACATAATCTTTCAGTTTCTATTATATTCCCCACCTCCCCATTTTAGCGTGTACCGTACTAAGCTTAGTAAACTATTATCTACGAATGGGACCACCGTAGCTCCTTATTTCATTACAACTAGTAGTAGTAGTAGTAGTATTTATTTCACCTTATCTTGCAGTTATCATTATTTTATTCCATGCATTTGCATGTTCACACCTGGTAATTCGTTGGAGATCAAGTGGCAGCAAGTCTCTTCAGAATACCAGCACTTTCCTGAGTATTTTAGATGCTTTCAGTAACCATTACCTCCGTGTTATACAGATTCTTCAGTTCTCTGTTAAGATTCAGATACTTATAAGTTATTCGTTTGTAATTTGGTTTACGTTTATATTTGGAGTGGGTAGCTTTAGCCTGTATGAAACACGATGTGTTAATATACTGAAATCCACCGGAATTTAAAACTGCCAAAGAATTATATTTTTTCATATACGGGTAGCGTCACAGGCGCGGAAAATGGAATCGACGAGCCGAGTTCAAGTTTGTTGCGCTCACTTTTATACTAATGCCATTGAAAAAATGGCATGAATCCACTCTTCAGCTGTACCTGTAAAGAAAAAAGAAACTGTCAACTTATAGTAGCAATAAACGTCTGCAATAGATTTTTCTGTCTCTCGACCGCAACACTTGTAGCCAAATCACAGTTCAAACGATAGTCCGTCATAACAGTCCAACAGGCAACGTAGAAACGACAAAATGGGGTCACATATCCAACCTTCACTTCTCACCAGCAAAAACGCGTGTTCGTCCACCAAGCTCAGAAAATCTTATCCCACATAAGCAAAAAACAATGGCTTTTGTTCACCGAGAGATCTTTCTGATTGGTCATGCCATTCAGGAGAGGGAAGAACATTAGCATAGATTCTAGTCCTTAAAGTAGATTTTTGCTAACTACTTTTTGGTAATTTTTCTTCAGCAGATCGCGCACAAAACACAAACTCTTTTTCGAGGTAGATGGTTATCTCTTTCACTACATCAGCCCCTCCTCCATGCTAGAGAGAATGGGCTCTTTAACCTTTGATAGAAGCCAATCTAAAAGGACAACTCTGAATTAAAAAACCGTGGTTTAAGTAATAGACACTACTCCTCTACCTTTCCAAAGACGTCATGACAATTCACATTTAACCTGTCAATGTCTACCTTAAATTAAATATAAAAATATTAAATATATCAAAATATTAAATATAAAAATCAAAATCATGTATCAATTATAGGTTTCTACCTATAACTTATTAATGTTCACCGTCCTAAAAATAAAAAGGTGAGTATTAGTAGGTTAATAAAAGAAACGGAATCTGTGGGGAGCCGTGATCGCCTAGTTACTGAACGGATATAGTATTACAAAAGAATAAAGATTTTGATTTGTGTGTAGGAAATTCAATCGTCCAGGTTTTTTTATATTAAGATCCGAACTTACAAATTCCAAACAATATTAAAATAAAAATACAGAAAACATAAGCATGACCTTTAAATAAATAATTTGTATTTACAAACATATGTGCATGAATTCAAAAGAATCAAAAAGGGATAAAAAAAAAAGTCTTTAGTTATGTTAATCTTTGGTTAGTTGGTTCACAGAAAAATCTATGTCTTTGATCGTCAGCAAAGATTCACTGACTGTCCGATCTATTTTTCTTAGAGTTTATGTTGTTTGAAATCGCCGATACATGTTCCTTTCACCACGTGCTGATGTTGGAGTACAGGAAAAATCTCTGTAGCCATGTCTTCTCTTGCGTTTGAACAGCCTGGAGACAAACAAATCTCTGATGCTGAAAGTCAAAATATGTTGGGTTTTAAAAGACATTTTTTTCACGAAAGTAGGCTCGAGGACAATAGAGTTTTACGTTTCTCTGAAAATATTCCATATGGTGAGGTTAATTTCTAACCAATAGACACTTTGATTTAAACGGCGTGTGTTGTACCGTGGAATCTTTTTGGTATGTTTAAAAATATTGTCTGTTATTGAGTAGAAAATAAAGTTTGGGCGTCTTTTAATATGGTATGTATGTGGGTAGGTAATTGTGTTGAAAATAGGGTTTATTTCCTATATATGCTTACCCTCGCGTTCGGAAAAGACAGGCCTGCCTCTGGCTATTGAAATTATTGATTTTTCTCCACTGTTATTCCGGACCATACCCCACCCATTTATTTTATTTTCCACTTTTTCCCAGCCAGCGTGTTTATTGCAAGATGTCCGTTTATTCCAAACTCCTCTCCATTTTTTTTTTGTTCCGAAAACAAATTAATTTGGAATTAATTCTCGAAATTACCTTTTTTATTTCAACTTAACCCTTCTATTCAGTAGATGGCATTAGATTTTCTGGTCAAATAATGCCTATTTGCACAGGTCCCAACATTCACTGACTTCTTATATATATATATATATATATATATATATATATATATATATATATATATATATATATATATTCATTCATTTATGAATATGAGTTTGTAACCCTGGGTTTCACGCTTTTACGATCATCAGACAAATTCTGATGCTCGGAAAAGCGTGAAATCCAGGATCACAAACTCATATCCATACAGCTGAATATGTTAGCTCTATCACTGATATTGAGCACTTTCCAAAAATTACCGCACATATATAATATATATAGAAATTATATATATATATATATATATATGTGTGTGTGTGTGTGTGTGTGTGTGTGTGTGCGTGTGAAAGACAGACAGGCAAACATAATTTCCCACTGAGAAGTTTGACGCAAAACAATTCTTTTGTGCCTTATGTCGCATTAAGCTAAGTTTAGTATCTAAATGCGCATCTACATATTTGTACTTGTCATTGGATTTTTTCGATAGTAAAACGGTTTACGGGTTTCCCTGTGGAACAAGTGGTCGGTATTCAAGCCTGCATATAAGCGTCATTTTGAATACTGATTTTCAAGGTAAGCAATCTATCCTCACTTGGAAGACCGGTGTAAAACAAATAGCATACTCTGTTTCTACTCGTTTAATCCTTTACTCTACTAAGGTCGGCTTAGTAAAAACTTATCTATCAACGGAACCATCATAATTTCTTATTTCGTTCACCATAGTTGATAATACAAATTCAAAACATATTGTAAATGTACTGTTTAACCTCCTAACTACTAGGATTTCTATTATAGCCGAGCCTATTTCAAGAAATATGTGGAACCACCAGAGCTTTTTTTATTTCAGTGAATATTTTCAATTCAAAACAGTTAATAGATGGAAGTTACTCTTTCATTGTCTAACAAAGGGTACATTACCCACTGTAGCAGCGTTCTCTTTCCGTGACCACAGTAGTTTTTTTTTATTTCTTTAAACTATAATAAAGACTATAGTACATTTAAAAAAGAAGGTCACACAGAATTGAAAACTCATTTATTAGGTTATCAACGCTACTAAAAATAACAAATGAAAATTGATATTTTTTAAAATCAATTCACCCTAAGCAAGGTGATAATGCTATTAAGACGCAAAGGGATACTCGAAGTGAAAGAGAATGAAAAGAAATTAGAAGGAACCGGAAACCCGATCCTAAACATGAAACAAGAAATAAACTCCTACTCCTGTTCCAAAGAGAGGAGAGGAGTGTGAACCGCGCGATAGGGGAACCTGTCTACTCAAATTGATGAAAGAGAAAAAATAGTAAATAAAACTTAAGACCTTAGACGAAGACGTTAGAAGTATAATGTTTATATATACTTTAGAATGCACTGGAATCCCGATCCTAACCAAGAAACAAGAAATCAACTCCTACTCCTGTTCCAAAGACAGGTGGTGTGAACCTGGCGAACCTGTCTACTCCTATTGAGGAAAAAAAATAATAAATAAAATTACAGAATTTAGAAAAAAACGTTGCATATCAGAAAATATGGATAAAATATAGAATGAAAGATAAAATATGATAAAATTAAGAACATCTACTAGTTCAGTTTGCCGCCGCTTCGCTGACGTCAAAAATATCAAAGTTCAAATCTAAATTGTGGTATTTTAGATGGACAAACATTTATTAGAAAATATAGTCTGTTTCAATACAGGAGTTATAAAAATCAAAGAGTCAAAGAGCAACACGTTACGGCTTACATTATTTTCCTGTTACCTAAACGTTTTGGGTTATCCCACTTAGCCCCGCCAAAAGCGTCCAGTAGATGGCAAACATATTCTCTCTCTTTCTCTTTTTTCCTCTTGCTCGGGTGTGATTCTTCGTATCTGTTGTTGTGTCCGGATGAGTGCATGTCTGTGTGAGTGCTTGAGATGAATGAATGTTTTTAATTTTTATAGTCCCGCATTAATTTCGTTTTATTACTAACTCGATTTTGTTTAGTTTCTTGTAAATAGTTATTTGTTTCACACTGTAAATACTCATTGCGGTTACTTTTTAAAATTTTAAATTGTTGCTTTATTCCCCTCCCTCCACAGACCACAAATTGTATATATGGGGTCTAGTTAGTATTTTCATGGAGTCATTATGGTGGGTGTGGTAAGTAAGAATGTGTTGTTTTGGTGCAAGAAATATTGTTAGTATGATTGGGTCAGCGTTTGGGGCTAGCTAAGTTTAGAAGTTAACACAGAAGACCGACCACTTCCTCATTCCCATTTCGGCTTTGTGCCACATTTTTTGTTATAGCACAGAAATAAATAATCTTTTTTCCTCTTGCTTCCAGATGTAATCGAACGTAGAT